CGTACATGCCCATCTAAAGTTTGCAGCATATTTCTCCCAGCTAGTCACGGACTGTCTAGGGCCCATGGGGCTGCGGTAGCTATCAATCTAGTAATCTATTCTGCTTTTTAGTTGGATGGCCAACACCAATCAGCTCCAGGTGATCTCCTCTGGTATGCTGCAGTAAATGATATTTGACATTTGCAAGTAATAATATGCTTTAGTGGCCATTTGCAGAAAAAATAAGTGTCCAAAGAAAACAAGAATGATAAACTGTCATGTGTGCTTGCAGATAAACAGACCACAGTATGGGGAAATTGACACAAGTGGTAACTGGTGAGAGAAGGTGGAGGGCTCTCAATTGGGCATCCTGCATGTTTATGGCTAGGCTCTTTTTAAAAATAGAAATGCATCCAAAGAAAAACACAAAACAAGTTTTCAGCTACCAGTGGATTTTCCATGTTCGTGTTTGCCACTACAGGTTAGCTGTGTCATCATGCAAATAGTACTATCAGCAGAGAGAGCAGATGCTTCCTTTAATAAAAATATGATGAATGAAAGGGTGAATTTCTTTGAGTTACATTTGATACATATGACCGCCGGGCTATGGCATTTACTTTTTTTAAAAGGTTATAAATAAACAAGGAAGTAGGGGACAATTCTAGAGAGGAGCAACCACTGATAGCATCCTGACATGTAGGAGCTGCGCTGAGGGGCAGCCACTTCAACCTGCCTTTGATGCTATCTGGTTTTAAAAGATCAACTCTGCATGAATATTTACATATGCAAAATAGGAATCCAAGTTCATGTGTGACAGGCTGAAGACAAGCTACAGCAAAATATTTTACCATTCAATTAAAAGGCAAATTGTCATTCACTTTCAGCAAGCTTAATCTTTGGTCCCTCATCACCCAGATAATCAAACACTTTTTCAGATGCTGTGATTTGCTGGCTACTTCCTGCTTTAATTTGGAATCGCATTCCTATTTTTGCCATAGCACTTCTTAAAAGCAAGCAATAAAAATTAAGATTCCATTGCTACATCTATAAGAAAATAACCTCCCTATATGTACAGGACCACATTCCAGACTGATCAATTGGGGTAAGACTTAGATGAACAGCTACATGTAATAGTAATACATTTGGGCTTGATTGATGCAGATCTTAAAACAAGTTCTAGATAGACAGACAAGTTCTGCAGGGATGGTTGTTGCCTGCTAGATTAGAGAATCTAAACCATTTTATATCAAACACTAAGCCTGGATGACAAAATATATATATATTCTTCTGTAAAGAAGAAAATTGATTTTAAAATTCATTTAAAGATGACTTTACAATAATCAGTTCTCATAGCTTTCAGCTAGTGGGAATCTCAAAGTGCTTTTACAAATTGATTGGGCACACACAGGACATATACAGCATTTGCTATTTACATTTTCAGTTTTTTTTAATTAATGCTACGGTAGTATTTCCTACACTCATTTTAAAGCAATGTTGTGAATACCATAATACTGTTAATTGCTTGCCAATGGAAATTAAATAATTTAATAGCCACCTGTATGTGCACTTGCACACTAACACACACTATTTATTCAGTTAGACGCCTATACAAAATCACTTAGCTCATCCTTGAAATGTATAGTAATCATCTTTTTTAAAAAATGTAGCAATTGTTCAACACTGCTTAGCAACAGCACACAACAGGCAAAGAAGGTTTAGCTGGACTACTCTTTGCTACAATTTAATTTAAGTCTGTTATACTACCTGGTAAATAGTTCTACATAGCTAATATTATACAATGTAAACATACTAGAAACCTCAACCCATCTCAAATTTACCTAACATGATACATCAAGATTGTAAATAATGAAGAGGACAAAGTTCTGATCATCAGATTTTTTTTATATTTTATTCCTACAAAAATCATGTAAACATTAGCATCCAGAAAAATCAAAATATGATGCATCAACTGCAAGTTTAAGAATGTGTCAAGAATATTTCAGCAATCTGTAAATTAATATATTCAGCTATTGGTACACATAACTGGATAAAAGCATCTCCTGACTGAGGAATTTAGGTGTAAGAGCTGTAAAGTGAACAGAGACACTCCATCCCCCTAACCGGATTATAAGACCACACTCCAATCTAATAGACTGCCCACCATTGTTACATATTGATCATTCTATTTTGCAGCTAAAACACGGTATAAAACAATTGTTGGGGTAGGAAGTTTAATACTTCTGTTTATTTGAACATATGTAGCAAACACGCCTATAAGAATGAAGAGAATAGAGCATTCCATAAACAGGTTTCTAGAAGAGTAAAATTCTAACTTCCCCGACTGCAACATTAGTCCATCAGCACTCTCCATTTCTCAGTATTTTGAATTCAGCACCAGAAGTGCCTCTGGCTAGATAGCGTGCTCCAGAAAGTATGGATGATGCTGATTGGGTGGGAAAGAAATTAAGATGTAGAGTGAATATTACACTGACCTAAAATTATCCTTTTGGCTTTGATGGAACATCCTGGACAGTTTAGTTTTCTCTCAGATTAGAAGGATCCTGGGAATATAATGCTCTTAACAACTTCTTAACCATGTGCTATGTTACTTCAAATCTGTACAAGTAAATATAATCTTTATGCTGCACTCAACATTACATTGCAAGTGCCCTCACAGTATTCCCCTTCAAAGACCAAGTACATAAGGATACAGGAGATATTACTTCAAATTTTTCAGATGACTATATATAAATTAAATGAATTCTGTATCAACCGGTGAAAAAGCAGACAATAGTTTAACTACATTTTAAAAAAAATATGGAGGAACATACATTAAAGAACTGAGCTTGAATAGATTGCTCTCTGCTCCACCATTATTTAATTCTCCAGGATTTTAAGAAAAAAATCATCATAGATGTGATCACATGGATTGTCCTGGAAACATCTTGTTCTCTGAATTGAATACACTATGGTACAGTCAGAAAATGAACTTGAGAAAATCATCCTATAGTTACAAATATTCTCCATTTTCATGGCTGAAGTAGACTTTCTTGTAATGACAAGACATTCATTTGGTAGAGTTTGATCTACAAAACTGATATTTTCCCCCCAAAGATGAACACAATGCTTGTTTTCATTAAGACTTATTTATTTAAAAAAATGGGAAGTTATGCCCAACTACAGGACTTGCTGCTATATTTTCTTCCAGTTGTTTTGGCCAAATCCTGTTCACCTTTGCCATAAGTAGTAAAGTGAACAGGATTTGACATTTAGCTTCAATTTTCTGTACACAGGTATGATCAGGTTGTGTTTATTATCAGCAATGCATTTGAAGTCAAATCCCAAAACATGATCCTTAGAACAAAATGCCTGGAATAAGAGTTCACTATGAGCATTAACATCTTATAGTCAGAATCTGAGCAATTCCTGGAACAGACACATTACCTTTAGCTCTAAAGCCACAGGTATAAACAAAATAAAGGTGCTGAAATGCTATTCCAAGTCTCTTTATCAAGATTTCTTTTTCAATTTGCTCTTCAATGGATTTGGATGGACAGAAAGTACAACAGTTGGGAACTGCAGGGTTAAATCACCTGTGCCATAATGTATTAAATTACAAGGAATGCTGATGTTTCCTATTTGAACTATTAGCATAACTGTGAAGATGTTTTTACAGAGCCTGTGCACTAATCTTTTGTCAAATCCCAAATTCCCCACTAGTTCAGCTCCAACAGTACGAGCAGCAGCAGGAGCTTTAATGTAGGCTGGACTCTGAACGTGCACCAGTATTTAAGCACCATGTTGTCTAAGCCCACTCAGAGGAGATCTACCAGACCTCATGCTGAAAATGTTGGTGGCCAACAGTGCTTTATCTACTCTACAGCTTTCAGTATTACTACCACCTGTGGAGCTTAATTGGTAGCAGCAGCAGCAATAATGAGATTGGACAAAAAAAAAGCCCAGTGGAGAGAAGGCCATACTTTCCAACTTGAGACTAAATTGCAGACTGCTTACTAGAGGCAAAACTTCCACTGAAATCTATAGAGTTTGGCCAGTATACATTCCTGGGATGTTATGTTACAGTTATGTTCCTGAAGCCTTGAAACTCATTCGTACATTTCTTTAATGTACAGCAGCAGTATGCATTTTGGACTCATGAAGATGTTAATAGCACAGTTTCTACACTACTTCCTATGACATACCCTCCACTGTTATCGCTTCCATACTTCAAAAGGCGCGCGCGCATACCCCTCCCCCCAACAGTTGCTGTTTTAATTTTTTTTTTTTGTAGGATGGAAAGATTTCTTGCCCACTGATGCCTAAGTAATTATCATATCCTCGTTTAATTTCTATTGTGTGCACATTTATACACACCTACGTGCGTATATCTGTATATATTCTAGGTAGGGGATCATTGATATGCTGTTGTAAATCTAACAAATAGCTGAATTCCAGCAATATTACAAATCACTGCAGCAAACCTTGAGTAATTTTAGATACATCATCAAGTTTAAGAACTTGTTCACTGTTTTATATGATACTTGGGTCCTACTATAGCTTTTTAAGAACGTAAGTAAACAATCTGAACTTGTTCCCTCTGCTTCCTCTAGTTTTAATTTTGTTTCTCTTTTTTCCTTATCACTCAGCCCCTCTTTTCCCTTTCCCAGTCTAACTTCCTGTTATCCTGCTCTCCTCAGAGTGCCAACACCAGAAGAGTAGTTGTGAGTGCTGCTTTAATTTTTGCTTCCCCATAATCCTTGCAGTTTTTAAACTTTTACTTTTTATTTAAAACATATTTAAAATTGTGAAGTTTTTAAAGCTGCAGAAATTAAGAAGTGAAAATTAAAGGCAAAAAAGTACCATGGTAGTTTCAGGGATGGACTGGAACTGTTAGAATTTCCAATAAAATGGATAATTACAGGCTTTCCTAACATCATGCCCATGAGTTACATGGCTGTGGGTTTACTAGTAATCGCTTTATGCTGGAAATCGGTATATTTTATAGGTTCTCTTAAAGAAAGTTTTCACATAAACTGGTATTTATTGATTCCAAAGGATAACAAATATAGACCAAAATCTGCCGATGAACAAGACGACATGCAAATAGGATTTACAAAACAACTCTTTATATATGTGGATGGATGGGGTTTACATTGTATAAACAGAAAATCTCACCTCTGAAAGTTTGGTTTTAGGTTAGGAGAGTTTATAGGATTACAAATGCAGTATTATATACATTGATATTAAGTTAAGCCAGTCCATATTTTACACCCAGCAATTCAAACAATATATTAGAAGGAAAGGAAAAAATCCTCCTCATAAATTTTTATTTTAGTCATCAAAGCACAATCCTTTCTCATCTTCATCGGTGGAATCTGCATAGGATTCAAGGGTATTATATATGAAAGGGTAAAGCTTCACATCTGGTCCTGGAGTAGAACAGCTTCTGCATTCTTCATTATAATATCTGAGCAACAGCCTGTAAACATCCCCTTGAAAATGAAAAGAAATAAAACCAATGCACGTTTCTAAAATTACTGCATCATACTAGAAGTATGTATATATTCACAACCAACAACTGTGTACTGGGTACAGGCCAGAGGATCTGCATTTACATGGATTTCAATGGCAAGGAACATTGTTTAGGGGAAGTGAAGGGACAGCAGCTCTTATTTCAGTGTGTAGACTGGAAGTGCAGACCAAGAGGGACTGTGCCATAACCTGTGGTTTGCGAGCTAGTTGAAAACAAGGGTTTGGGTCCCCCTCAACTTCAGTCCCTTGCACGAAATCCATTGCTTGCACAACTCCTTGCACAAAATTACCTGAGCTCTGAGCAAGGAGTGGTGAATTTCACAGTAACTGTATGTATATACACTTTATAATTTTAAACAACAAAACCATTACAGAATGGGTTATTTTTTCAACTGGTTTGGAAAGACCTAAATTTAGAGTTCTGTTTCCCACAAAAAGTTAGAGACACTACTATCAGCAGGGCAATGAATGTAGCTTCTCCTGTACTGCGAGTCCCAATGACTTCAAATCTGGCTACTTAGGTGTATCAGGGCTTGTACGATAGGGATCATAATACCATATCAGAATAGTACGAGGGACAAAAATGTGGGTCTTATTTCAAGTTCTATTTAGAGCTCTGGCAGGCCTTTAGTTACCATAAACTACCTTATATGATGGCACATGTTTATTATCTACCACTTTTTCAGGAATAGCTTCTTGCATAGACCTTTAATGTTGAGGTTTCCTTTACTTAAATTCAGCACTTTTATGATCCTAGTGTCTACATTTCTTACTGTTCAACTTTCACTGGAAATGGATTTATTCCCCTTCGTATTTCACAGGGGAGGGAGATTGTTTTATGCTTACCTACAGTTTGGCCCTTTTCAGTGAGAAAGGTGTGCATGCTGTAAATATCTCTCATCAGCTCAGCATCTCCAAATGTAAAATAAACCACATCTCGCCCAGCCTCCGCAGCTGCAAGGATTTGTATTAAGGCTGCAGCACATAAATAAATACATAAATAATAATTAAAAAAATAGGTAAATATAGACAATTTATTATAGAAGTAGAGTAATTTGTGCTCTAAATTTAAGGTTGGGAGCTTTCACAACTAATAATCACACCATATAGTACTCTTCATCTGGAGATCTTAAAGCCCACTTTTTGTAAAATTGCAACCATCATTCCACTTAAAACAAAATACAACCAGAAACTGACGCTCAAAGCAGGTTTTTTCATATGGAAAATAGGGAAAATACTTCCTTCTGAAGAGTAGAATGTGTAAGTATTCATGTTAAGAAACCTTACTTAGCTAGTAGTGTGATAGGCACTTTACGTATTATTTAATCACATGTTTAGCTCAATCAGCCTACAATGTTCCAAAGGCTGGATCTCTATCAACTGCTGAATCTATGGAGGGTTACCATTATTTCTTGTCTCTGGACATATACCTGTCTGAATGCTAATCTTTCCATTCACAATATCCGTCAGGGATATTATCCACTCTATGCTCACCGGTAGAAGGTGATGAAGAATTTTATGTTAAACAAAAATATGACCTAGGGAATTGTCCTTGCATTCACACCTGGCAGGGCAAAGCACACTAGTAAGGTATTCATTGTTCAACTAGGAGGAGGAATCTTTCCCATTTTATTTAATACAGACAAATTTAACATAGTATGCTCTTTAATCAAAGGGCCCTTTTAAACCCAGAACTAAATTATTCATTACACTCATCACATACACTATCAATCTCAATTTGGGGATGATATTTTAATTTAAATACTTAACCAACAGCCTATGGATTTGGAAACACTTCAGTAGTTCTGTTTTATAAAGGGCCTAATGAACTAACCTGCATAGGAGAACTGAATCTAATGACTCTTCACATTTAGGCCAAATGAACTATGCAACTGCACGTTGCACTAGGAGCATGAGAAGGTACTCTGTAAACTGCTTTCCACCCAAGTTTTTACTTTTAATTGCTAAAAATCTGTAAATTTGACACTCATGAAAGCGAGGGACAAACAGCGGTGACTTCAGTCAGACTTCCCACCATGCAAGCCTTCCCTTTCCCTTCTCTCACCTCTGCTAGGGCCTGATCCATGTCCTTTGAAGCTAATGGAAAAAACCTCCCTTTGGTTTCTCACTTTATTTTTTTGAACAGATTTTTTCAGGTTAGAGAACTTTTTATAAAAACACTGATCTGGGTAGTTGAGAAGTACCTTACAAATAACATACCCCATTAAAATATATTTTCATAACACTATGAAGGTACTGAACATTTAGCATTTATTTTAGTTATCTCAGACCTTGCTCTTCCCTTTTAACTGGAACATACTGGAAAACTGGGTAAGTATTTTAAAACAATCAGGAAAGAATTCCTTTCTATACAAGAAGCATCACTTCAGATTATTCCCCCTAAATTAGCACAATGGAACCATGAATCCTAAATGAAACCTTTCGGCAGTACTGCAATATAGGATTATGATTTTCTATTAGATTTTTCTAAAGAAAAAACTAAGTTGGCCTGGATAAAGTGTTCCAGTAGGAATCTACAGAATTAAGGGCAGATCTGCTTCATGGAACTATAGAAAAGAGTGTACAGGCCAAACAGCTCTTGTGCAAAGAAATGTAGAGGACATGGGAACAACGCTGATGACTATGGCTGTTAGACTGTAGTAAGTCAGAGATCCACAGGATAATTGTATGCATATCCTTAACCCTTTCCAGTACATACAGTACATAAAATGAACAAAAGAAAATTAGAGAATGGAAGCATGCAAATCCTCTGTGAGAAAGAATCTCAGCATTATGTGCCACACAGTGCAGTTCAGAAAGATAAACAAACAAAGCCCACTTCACAATATTAAAGCAGAATTTTTTGAAGAAGACAAAAAAGGGGCATTTCTATGAACAGCCAATTCTGTGGTGACTTTAAATCAGTTATAGCCCCACCTAAGGCTGATCACGTTTGATACAAAGTAGAAATTAATCCAAATCAAAACCTTGCCTCCAAGCACCCCAATCTTTGGGAAGATTTAGATGTAGATCCAAACTTTGTAGCTCAGTTGTATCTCTAGCTGATAAACAGACCGATATTACCACATATGTGTACACAGCCAGATAAGCTCACCTTTTAAATATTCAAAATATCTATGCTCATAGCTTAAGATCACTGAAAAAAGTCACAAACAAGCTGAAAACTACTTCAAAAAGTCTTATTTAGCCAACATAGCATTCCTCTATTTATAACCGGGATAATTTTCTTTCTTTATACTGCAGTTTGCTGCGTTCTCAGGTCATTCACTGTGACCTTGATTCAGACTGTATTTTCAATACAATAGCTTTTCTTTAATGCATGACACTCAATCATGCTGGAGTGTGATTAAGGCTTCTAGAACAAATGTACTATTTTGTTTTTAAAAAAATATAAAATAACCAAGTTGTCCTGAAACATCTGCAGAATCTCTTGGTAGAACATTTGGAGATGAAGACTATTTTCTTTTTTAATCATCTGTGAAAATGAATTCATATCTCAAACTCGAATCTTTGCATTTCTGAACACACATAAAAACACTGGTCAACACCAGACTAAAAAGGGTTATAAAAATACATATACAAAATATAGCCAAAAATGTCATATCAGTACACAAGATCCTCATTTCTAAAGTTGCTTTCTCACTGCCATATATTGTCAGATTTAAGACAGCCTGTAAAGTCTATAATATCAGTTTCTTTTAGTTAATGAAAACTACAGATGACATTGATAATCTTACATGTATATACTTCCTTCCATCATGAAGGATCCTAAAGCTCTTTACAAACTTTAACCAATAGACTTTTCCCCACCACTAAAAACTGAGCTACTATTGAGATAAAAACATTCCCAAATTTCATAGTGCAAATAATGGTATATAACATTTTAGAACAAGAGGAGAAAATATCTTTTGCACTTGAAATCATATAGGGAATTTGCCCAGGCAGAATGTAATAAGTAGTTTGAATTTGGCCAGGAATTACCACTTCAATTCTCAAAAAGAGAATCACGGGATTTTAAATGACCAGAAGTTGGTCAAGTTCATAGTTTTGCCCCATTTTTTATTCAAAAAGGCTGTTTTAATCCTTCAAGTATCATATCAGCACTGACTCAGGGGAAAAAAAACATCACATACTGAATCATAATACCTCTTGTGCATCACCTAGCTGTTCCCTAATTCTACCAACCAAGTACTGACACAGCCAAACCCTGGTTAGAGCCTGATCCAACTCTAATTGATGTCTTTCCACCAATTTCAGTGGATCAGCCCCGAAGTTTATAATATCTGATGGAAGCACAGCATAAGATTAGAGCAGCGGTTCTTAAACCGTGGGTCACGACTCCCTTTGAATGGGGTTGCCAGGGCTGGCTTAGACTTGCTGGGGCCCGGGGCCGAAGCCAAAGCCTGAGGGCTTCAGCCCTGGGTGGCAGGACTCAGGTTGCTGGCCCCTGCCAGGGGCCGAAGCCCTTGAGCTTCAGCTTTGCCCCCTCCCACCCAGAGTGGTGAGCTCAGGCTTTGCCCCCCTCCTCCCCCCCAGCACAGTGGGGCTTGGGCGGGCTCAGGTTGTGAGGGTGGTGAAGTAATTTTTGTTGTCAGAAGGAGGTCGCGGTGCAGATTAGAGGATACATGTGTATATTCTGATCTATATTCTCAACACAGTACCAGCAGCAAAACTTGTTTTCAAGTGGTACTAAATTGAGAATCTCAGCTCTGAAAAATCATAGATGAATACAGAAAGTAAGGCAAATTCCACCAGTAGGTAGAGAAAGTGGCTAGTTTTCTCTTGCCAGACTAGAGATAATTATAGCACTTGGCTTACTGGAGATCAGGTTATAAACATTTTCTAACATCAGAAGGCCACAACATTAGTGAACAAAAGCCAAATAAAATTAAACTTCTGTGCATATATTGTAACTGAAGAAAAGCTTATTTATGCTTCATAACATAATTTATATTTGTTTAAACACACACTTAGAATTCTACCATGCCCTTATACTCTCACTCTCTCTGATGTCCTCCTCTAATTTTCATCTACTAAAACACTGGAGATTTTTTTTTTTTAATGTAATGCTTCTCTCCTCAACAAATCTGCTGGGACAGTCCTGCTTAGCCATCCCCAGACTGGACCTCTGCATGACTAGAAGAAAGGTATTTTCAATAGAGGACCATCAATTGTAAAGTTCATGTCCACTGTTGGTCCAATCATGCCTTAGTCAAGCAATCATTATTTCTAGCAGAAACCCATACATTTTGGGATTACACTGGGATATTGCATTTCAGACTAAAAAGAGCTCTTATTCAAATTAAAACATTTATTAAAACTCCCTAACTTGAACTGTCTATCAAAGATGATCACAGATTGCAGCAGATTTGGCTCTTTGTATTGATGGCCTGAACCTGGTAATCTATTTTATTTAATGGAAAACAAAAAACAGTTGTCACGAAATCAATGAGCACGGAGTGAAAAATAGGCTCTCGCTGCGTAACACACATTTGGGAAAAAAACTAATGAAGCTGGCAGCCTGAAGATCATGATGCTTACATTTAGTTTCTAACATAACCACTTAAATATTCACTAGGCCATAGTTATAAAACTAACTTTTGAAAATATTTTTTCACCCCAAACACCTGACAATAAGCAGCAAAATATGCCAATTTCTGTTTAGATTTAAATTATGTTAAATTATAACTACGCAGAACTAGATTTGGGGATTTACTAATCCAGAATCCAAACAAGTGCTTGATTTGCAGGTACCCACAAAGTGGGAAGCAGTCACAAATTAATCCAGGACTTTGGGGTCTGCTACAGGCTGAGTGCCTTGATTAAGGACAGTGCAAGAGAAATTGAGGGATTTGGTTGCAAGGAAGGAGAAATTTAAGAGACTGCAGGTCCCAAGAATACATGTTGCCTTTTAGGAAGGCAGAGATCAGGAGGCATTTATAGAGGCTTCAAAGGAAGCTATGTTTTCTGTCCTTTTTTGAAGATATCAAATACGTTGCACTGGCAATTGGTACCCTGTGATGAGGCAGAACCGCCCCGCACCAGCCCCAGCAGCGTCAGGCTGGTAGCACTGACGGCGGAAGTCCCGCCCCGTACGTACTGAGCATGCTCCAAGTGCTCTGGGAGTATAAAAGGAGGGAGCCCAGCTTAGTCTGGGCTGGCAGCTGCAGGGGAAGGACCTGACTGGGAAGCGGGGAGGCCCGCAGGGAACCTAGAGACTCGTGGGAGACCTCAATGCGCAAGCCGGTAGGAAGCGACCCGTGGGTGGGGTGACGGACTGGTACCTTGCCCCTGGCAAGCGTCAGCATGTTTTGGCAGGGGAAACCCCCCCCCCCCCCGGCTGAGCCAGGGGCAAGGTCCTACGCTGCGGTTAGGGCCAGAGGCTGGGACCCGATGGAGTGGGAGGGACTCTGGCCACTAGGCCATACTGCCCTGCAACCTGGGGTGACCCTAGAGACTCTGGCCACTAGGCCGCATAGCCCTGCACCTAGGGGTGATTCTATGGACTCTGGCCACTAGGCCATACTGCCCTGCAACCTGGGGTGACCCTAGAGACTCTGGCCACTAGGCTGCATAGCCCTGCACCCAGGGGCGATTCTATGGACTCTGGCCACTAGGCCATACTGCCCTGCAACCCGGGGTGACCCTAGAGACTCTGGCCACTAGGCCGCATTGCCCTGCACCCCGGGGCGATTCTATGGACTCAGGCCAACAGCCGTATTGCCCGGTAACCAAAGGCACATACCTTCACATACCCTCAAAGTGGTAGGAGACAAAATGGGGCATAAGTTCTCCTAGAATGAAACTCATTCTTATCAGCCAACAATCTCCAATATCATACTTAACATTGTACATCTTCAGAGTGCTATACAGACATTAACCCTTGTGTTGGGTAGATGGGCAGGTATCAACCCTGTTTTGCTCAGATTAGGAGTTTGCTTAAGGCAGGGGTGACTAATGCTTTTCCTGTAAAAATCGGTGCAAACATACACTGGATAAGCAAGAAAAGAATGAGAATAACTTGTAACAGATGGAAGAAACTGAGGGCGAGGCAAACTGTGCTTGCAAATAAATGCAGGCACTATTTTGCAACCAAAATTATTTGCACCTGCATTTTAGGGTCATTTAGGTATCTAAGCACTCTACCTGCTTTGTGAGTACAACTAGGTAATTACAACAGCTTTGTGGGCCCATAAATAAAGGTCCACTTAAGATCGGGCTCAAAGTTTGGCCCAGAGAGGTTTGGCCCAAAGCCACAGAGTGTGCCAGTGGCAGCAACGATTTAAAACTCAAATTCTTGGCTCCCATTCCCATGCTCATTCCATTTGACCTTTCCTGTCAAAATAGAATTACACCCTCCTCCCACTATAATGTGCAAAATACATGAATTTAAGATGGTTAGTACTACTCCAGCCCTTGGCTAGCAGCAGTTTGCTATGAAAACTCATTTCAATTTTCGGGACTTTTAAAGAGGGAGGAATAAAAACTTATTTCCTTCTAAACCAAAGTGTCCAAGCACCTAAAATAGAAAACTTACTCCAACTTGACATTTGATTCATTCGGTCCTTAAAACATTGCTATTATTTACCTTTCAATCTGGAATCGCCACCAAAGGCACCACATCCCCAGTTTCCTGTGGCTACTGCTGAAAGATGCTGAGGGGGAACAGCAGGTCGAGCGAAGCCACAGTATGCCTGCAGGCAGACAAAAGGCACATCAGAGGAGGTTTTTGACAGTAGTTCTGATGCTATATTCTTAAGCTTAGTGTTAGATAACAGTAATCTGCATTTTTATTCTACTGTTTTCTGGTAACCTAAAATTCAATACATCTTCAGGCTGGCTTAAAAGTGAAAGTTAACACACTAGTTTGTTGGCAAATGAGCAACGATAGGCAATGGAAACATTTAAAGTGAAAATTAGATAGGAAAACAAAATCCTAGTTATTTCCCCAGCACTAATGAGGAGCAGATGCCCTAGGTAAAATTCCAAGAATATCTGTAAAACAACACTTTACATATTTAAACGTAATGTGTACTTTATATTTAGTGAAAGCTCACTTGGTCCACTTGAAACCTTTCTGGAGAAATAGCCACTATGCTACAGTTTAACAAGAAAGAGGATACTTTGTACTCAGTTGAAACTGGAGGGCCTATTTAGGTAAATGGGAAATAATTTTTTGAATGGAATGTGGCTGAGACACTGGGATTAACCCTACTTGTATGGAAAATGCCATGGTCTCTTTAAATTACCATACTGGTCAGAGCCTAGTTTTCGTGTCTCATCTGAAAGCAGTACAGAACTAGGGGCTTCAGTTCAATATCTACTCAGACGGAAGAGTACCACCTCCCAAACTATTATGCAGGTTCCTTAGAGGGCTTCCATCCAAGCACAGGTATTTGTAGTTTTTCTGCATAATCCCCTTTATCCTATGCAACTCCTGCTGTCCTAGGCCCTGCATAATTGTCACCTTTCAAGGATAAGGAAGCATTTCATTTCTGGTTTTCACAAAACTAAAGGTTAGATTAGCTATAGGTTTAAAATGGTAGAATCCTTCCTTACTGTGCCTCTCTCATATACCAGTACTATAAAGTTAATACAAATTCTGTCCTTTTTATTTTTTAAGGTTTTTGTTTGTTTGTCTTTTGACCACCCAATTGTTTCTCATAAAGGTGTAAAATCTCTTCTCATCAGAATTTAGAGAGCATGACCAAAAAAGGACCAACTTGTGATTTGCCAGCTACCATAGCAATCAAAGACAAAAGAAACTCATCTGAGCCAAGGAAACAGAATGACCTTACAAGAAAAGGAGACAAATTTTCCCAGCACTAAATTAAATGTAATGAAGCATTTTTGTGATTGCTTGTGAAGTGAAAACTTGAAAAGCCTATCACTGATCCACACATGGAATATTATGAAACCATTACAGTAGGTTAAACCACTATGTAACAGCAGGACTAATTTGCCCCATGTTCTTTAAAGCCCTGAAAATAAAATACACAAAGCCATCTTAAAATACAGGTCTTATATAATATGAAGTGAGGGAAAGAGGGGAAAAACCTGATACACACTCACAAATCTTGGATAAAGTAAGATGCTCCTACAAAAGACCCAGGGGAGAAAAAGGGCAAATCTCTCCATGAAATTTTTACAAAGATAAAAAAATTATTGAACACATTGTCTGGTACGGATTAGTAAACATGGTTTTTTCGCCCCCAAGTAGTCTGTAAATTCTGACAGATATTAGTTATGATTTGGCAGTACACCATTATTCAAAGTTTACAACAGAGAGCTTACACAACAGTTCACAAATTACCTGTTCCATCAGATGCATGTGGCTTTTTAAAGTCTCTCTCAAGTCAGAAATATTGGTGTGCTCAATGACTGGAGCAGGTTTGTGAAAAATGACAGCACCTAGCAAACTATTACACAGCTGTGTGGAAAATAAACCTCCCCAGCTGAAAGAACTGGATCTGTAGTGGAAAAAGAGCCATTTTGTTTCTGTGTTTGGTTGTTTATTTGCGGGAAGGAGTGGGACATGTATTTTTGAAGTACACAGAGAGAATACACGGAGAACATAGAAACTGCCTTTATATTCTCTCTCACTCTCCTATCTAACAACAGATTGAAGCCTCCAGAAGTAGCAAACTGAGTGCCTGGAGTACCTCTCATTGCTCCACAATGACCCTTATAGCCAATATAAGAGTGGAACTGTCTTGGTCATAAAATATCTCAAATTTCTAAACAATGATAAGTGATGCTCTGCTGGAAATTAAAAAGATCAAGTTGCATCTTGATAATTAAGCTATAAAGTATCACCAGGAATAGACTATTATTAACTAGCACTATTCTCAAGAGAATCATGATGATAATGCAGTAGCCCTGTGTACTATCTTACTATTCCATTTCTTACATTGTGTATTTGCAAATCTTAATATTGAAATCAGGCACAATGGATGCCTTAAAATTCTAAACAGCTGATCTCGGACAACAATCAGTTTTTTCAGGGATGGGTTAAACCAGGTGTACAGCCAGTTATATTATAGTTATCTTAAGTTTGGTTAAAAAATAATGTATTTGCTTTATAGTTTGTGGCTAGTAAGCCGAAAAAGACCCTAATCAGCAAATAAAGGAAGGCTGTGAGAATAATTAGTAGTAGTAGTTGTAGTGTAGGAAGGATGTATGGTTCAAAAATAACTAATAAGCAGCAGTAGCAAGAAAAACTGCCTTAAAACCTTTTCTCTTCAAAAGAAACAAGCACAAACCTTCCCACTGTTCTGCTGGTAAGCAAGGAGATGGGAGTATACAAGAAAGGAAGGAAAAAAGCAAGGATAAACTGCTTCAAACTGGGCTTTTGCTACAGCTACCAAGTTAGCTGATGGGTATAAAGAGAGCCATGAATCTGAAAGTTCTTTGTCAGACCCTACCTGATCATTCTGGAGCACACTAGGATGAGACGGTTTTCCCTCGGTCTGACCTGTTTTTAAATATACTGATCACATGCTTATGAATAATTTGTTACTTTATTGGTGTAGTGACTGCTTATCTTTAGGCTGTTAGATATGTTTTGAGCAATTGTATAAATACCATTTGTCCTTTGGACTTAATAAAGAAATTTATGGTTGAATTAGTGTTTGGTGATCTCCCATATTAATATTAATTTCAAATAATATGAATAATTCCAACACCATGAGTAGGTGTCAGTCCCAACAAACTGCCTCTTGGGAAAACTGACTGACAACTAACATCTGGTCCCACCGAGATAAGTGCAACTTAAAAAGGAGATACAATACCAACTTTTAAGAAAGGCTCCTTTTTAAAAGATAAAACCACTCCATTAAATGTCTCTCTCAATTATTTCCTAATTCTTAATAATAGAACAGAAGTATAACAGAACTGCAGGAGTCAATGGATACTGATCCCTATCCTATGATGGGGTGCCATTCTTGCATAAACAGATATTTGATGGCCTAAATAAATGGTCTAATTAATTAAATCATAATACATTTTAGATAAGAAGAAATTGTAACCCTTATTGTTTGTTTCCACACCACACAAAAAATATAATTGACTGAAAACCAACGTAGACAAATACTGTTGTATACTCTAGCAATATGTTGTCTTCAGAAGGCATGGTGATTTCTAGTATGATTTAGTACAGAATTCCTCCTTACATTTGAGTTTACCTTACTTAATGGAATGTAAAATCTATTTCACTCAGCAGTTGGCTTAGCATTTTCCTCAGATATGATTAACCTGTTCATGTTGAACTACCGCTGCCTAACAGGAGTTCTAAACAGAAGAAAATGCATGCATTTATCCTAATATATGAAAGGATTTGCATCTATCAATATGATTGATAAGTTTAGTCTGATCTCAAATGCATTGGGGTGGGCGATTTAGTTTTCCAATTAAACTGTCACTGAAGTTTACTAAATTCATTTACTGTCTTTTTCAGGGCTTATTTCATTACCATCAGTGATGGAATGATGTGATATATGTTACTTTATACAGGAAACAGGTTTTTAAACTAAAATTAGTCTTGATTTTTTGGAAAAATTACCTTAAAAGTGGTATTTCCTTTTCAGTTGGAAGATTAATGAAAAGCTTCCTGTACTTGCTTGAATTTACTTACATATCTACAATAGGACCTGATCCTGAAATTTGCTGAATGCTTCAATTCCCACTGAAGTAAAATGGAAACTGAGGTTTCCCAGTACCTTTCACAGTAGGGCCTATACAGTACATATGTACACCTGCTAAAGATTAATTACAAGGCATAGAAATTAATGAAAAACCTGCCATGTTTATTAAAAAAAAAAAAAAAAAAAAGAGTTGCAGCTAAAGATACCGGTAGCAGGAAAGGTATACCAATAATGTAGAGTATCATCAGAATTCAACGTTTACTTGGTTTCTAGATGGGGCTAGGATCTGATCCATAATAAAGCAAGAGACTTCCCTCTCCAGTGTTTGATTGAAAATAGAAACTTAAGTTGGATACTCATTTAGAAGAGAAAAAATTAGTCCAGAATTTGGTCATGAATTAGAAACTGTGGGCAGGGGAAGGGGAGGACGGGGAAGAGAAGGAAATAATATCAGTATTAACCATCAATCTATAGAAATATGAGGTACTGTACTTTTGTTTGTTTGTTTCTTTAAAATCATAGGGTAGACTAGATTCATTACAGCTAACCAATCTTAAATATAAATTGCAGAAAATATTGGTAGTGGTAACTTTTTAGTTCTGGCCTTAGAATTTTTGAAAAACATTATTGGGAAGATTTGGACAGACCTATTAGTTTCCATTTAGAAAATTAAAAAATGTATGCCAAGACAGAAACCATTTTCCAACAAGCATTCTATCTGGCATGCTTAAGCTTTAATCTTACTATTGCAAAATATGAAGGATACCTATTATGAAATGATACTGCAATTAAACAAGATGTCCCGTTCAAAGGAGTTGCTGATGCTGCAAGAACGATGGGAAAGCATAACTCCAACATTAATGAAATGGCTGTAAATAATGGGCCTTAGAAGTTACTGGCCTTGTTGAGTTCTCTTCTAATTTTCTCAGGAACAAACTGATCAAGAAAACGTCTGAAGTGAAATGCATCGATAGCAACAATTTCAGTGCAGCGCCTCTGCCATTCATCCCTACATTGGGAAAAGGAGGACAGCAAAATTTTGTGTAGTCAATAATATATCGTCAAAGAAACAATTCCAAGAATTGAAGTGTGACTCAAAGCTTTATAACTCATTCAGCAGGTTAACTCTTTCAGTAAGCGAAGCTACAATTACCTGTTCTGAAATGCAAACATGGCGGAGATAATAGCATCACCTTATCTCGCACTGATGTGAAAATACATTCATTATGTCTGCGAAGCACTGATATCATGCTGATGAAGGCCATAAAAAAGCCCTTTCAATGTGTTACGATATTTTTGTACTGCAGACTCATAACTACACTGTAGAAGTTATGAGAATATAAAATGGAGTCATAGGTAGCTGTGGCTTTTGGCACCTAACAAGGTAATGCTCAGCAGTGAAACAGTAAAATAAACTGTCATCTGATTTCAGAGTTAGCACCCTTTCTGAACAGATGCAATTTATGCCTCTCAGAACTACTATTGCAAGCTGTACAGGCTAAGGAAGACAATACTGTTACAGTTTGCACCTGGTTCCTCTTTGAAAGGTTTTCTTTGGAACCATAACAGCTTTAAATTAATGAATAATTAGTTTATTACCTTAAACTATCCTGTTGCAAAGAATAGATTCTGTAGTAAATTGCCCCTGCCATAAAATATATGGGCCTTATCTATAACAAAGCACCTACATGCTTTCTAGCAGTTTTTAAAAACCCAATTGGTCAGATCTGTAAAAGAGAAGCTAAAAAGTGCCTCTGAGAGCCGCAGTTCAACATTCATGATACTTTCCTTACTCTTTTTTCAGAAATAAAGGCTAAGCTTTAATGGTAAAAATGATCTCAACTACTCAACAGTGAATGCATTACCTTGGGGTATCATCTTCATGGCTTCTCGCCCATCGGTATGTTTCTGCATAGCCTGTATAGTCACTGTACTGCTCAGTACCTGAAATAAATCATTTGTCATGTTAAACACGCAATTTGCAGATTTTTCTCTTCTTAATACATCACCTCCTCCAAGGAGTCTTCACTCCTCTGAATACATGTGCAACTTATGTTAATACTAATGGGAGCTACATATGAACATTACGAGGCAAACCAAACCCTATGTAATCAAGATGAGTCTCTTTTCCACAGGGGGTAGTAAGTGTCCAACACAGGCAGTCACAACTGCAAGTCTCTTTCACCTGTGTCCACAAGTCCTAACATACATTTAACTACCTGCAGTTCTCAGCCTCCCCAGTCCAGAGTGAAATTCAACAGGAAAGACACCAGGCTGATGGCTAAGGATGCAGATCTTGGGAGTAGCAAGTTAGTTTTTTTTTGGGGGGGGGGGGTAGGGAATGGAAGGACATGAGTTTTTCCAATAAACTATTTTTCCTTCAAGTTTTTACTGGTAAATGTCTATTTAACAAAGATCAGATGCCTTACTGACAGGGTTTTTTTGTTTGAGACACAAATAAAGAAAATTAGCTTGCAAAATTTAGTAGAGAGAAAAGACTGAGAAAAGTGTCTGGTTAGCATTACTGTAATGCACTGACAGCGTTATTATAAGGAAGGGAGCTGTCATGCTTGATCAACACAGAAGACCAAAATAAGGGAGCATCATCTCTGTCACTTTTCTCTGTGATGGACACAGAATAGTTAACTGTTCTTTCATACGAGCAAGAATATTTTCCCGAATTTTAATAATCGGACAATGATTTCTAATCTATATTGTTCAAAAGGTCAGAAATTCCATGTCAAACTTT